TGTATCGTGATTTTGATGGTACTCCTAGGTACCCATACGGGAACCTTGGCCCAAAATTGTATCATCGGGTGACGAGAAGGAATATTCTAATGTTATTCCTCGACCGCTGGTCAAGGCTGATCTCGACGATGCGCTTGCCCACAGTCATGCCAGTGATGCTAAGCTTGAGGAGTATATCGAGTGGAATGATAAATTCGGATCATGGCCCACTCAAGTTGTTATGCATGACGAATAAGTTCCCTGAATCAACGCATCGGTTTCCTTCCTCCCGTTGGCTTCTGTTCGAGTAGTTAATGAAGGACTGCCATTCGAGAATGAAGGGCCTTCACTGTAGAGGTTGTGAGAGTTCTTTGGGTACACGTTAACCTGGGGCACACCCAAGGGTATTGTGTGCAAGTATTGACTCACAACGCGGAGCTTAGTGGTGGTACAGCAGGATAAACGCATATACAACTGGTCAAGGGCATCTCATGTCATAATACATCGTAACCACGATTCCTATACGGATACTGCAATGTAAAACCCGACTCCTACCAGGGATGACTATGTGTCGATCCACACTCCAAGGGACTCCCTAAGTGTTTCTCACGCGCGCAATATCGTCACGCCGATGCCGGTGATACATGCCCAATCGGTCCTGTTCGTTGTACCCACTTCCATAAGACATGGTTCGCCAGATCTTTCCGGCGCTATGACGGGTTATGACCCTATATCCTCCTGTGCAGCCTCTCACTTTCTCCCTTTTGATGTCCAACTCGCATAACCTATTTGAGACCCCATATTCAAGGGGCGGAGAGGTTGATTTTCCACCAGTCATTCCCGGATTTGAGCCAGCCGACGCTACAGTCCTGTTTAGCTGTCACCGCACCATGTTGATTTCGTAAAACCACATTAGCGACTCTCGTTTCCGCTGAGTTTCCACTCATGTCGTCTCGCACCGGTATCATGGTGTGGACCACGTGTTTCGCCAAAAGCTTCATTATATCCCTTGATGGCCTATGCGTGTTCCAGGGGACACGCCCAATACACGCGTTACACGCACTGACGCGCGTGAAGGTCGAACACACAATGCATGAACACTGTGTGTTCATCGCCCCTACAGGCGCTGTGCATACACGGTGTACCATACGCCTAGATGGAACTTTAGGTGAGCCCCTTACAGTGATATCTCTTCCCGTGATGGGATAACTATATATGTAGTAGTACTTTAACAGTGCTCTTTGTCTATTTTTCCCCAAACGTACTACACTAATAAGCTGTACGCGTGACGGCTCTATCCGATGTTATCACTTCTGATCAATGGCTTCTCTATCTAACACTTTCACGGTGGAATATCCACTCATACGTTAGATACCCTTTTCAGTTTGCAGTTAACTCCATCGTCCTCCACTACTATGGTGCGGTTCGCTTCCATCCTCCTTGCATCCTTCTGCGTAAGTTTCATGGTCGCCATCGAGACCCCTTCGCTGAAGGCTATTTCTTTGCCTAATGGGATGTACATCAGCATCGACCCAAGTGTAGACGGAAACCTCATCTTCAGTGCTAAGGAGCAGACCTTCGATATCAAGGCTACAGTCGACGGTTGCCACCTTCATGTCACGGGAATGACGTTTTCCGCACCTACCCCCACTGAGACTAAGTACAAGTACAACATTGCTATCGGTTATGACAAGACTGACCTCGAGCTCCAGGTCAAGGCATGTGCGCATACTCCGGTTACTATTGACGACTTCGCAAAACCTCTAGTGTATTATTATGGTACTGGAAAGGATAAGAGGAACACCATAACTACGAATTGGGGCAAGGCCCCCAGTATGTTCTACCATAAGGATAAATAATCCACAAGCCGCTGCCTGCCGCACCACATGATCCGATCCAAATGTATCTCTCAGATCAACTACTTCTTTCGTGGCATTATTCGTGATGCCATTTCCCTCTAGACAAGAAATGTAGGGTTCAGAATCGATTCTTGTCGAGATCCACTAGGCAAGCCATAGAATATTTTTAGCATTGACTCATGCCACATATTTTATGACTGTAGAGTGAAGAACAGTCGATTACAGCAGATTACACCATGCTAGCCAGATCCATTGTAGAGCGACTCCCTTTCGTTGCGCATGCGTGCTTGTGCACGCGTGCCACGCTCATCAGTCGCACCGGATCGATCTCGCTATGGCCGGATGGCCAGTTTCGCGACGATTCAAGTTCGTAGGATGAGGATTAAGTTCGTTTAAGAGATCATGAGACTAAGTAGTTCTCCTTTTGAGTCCAAGTGGCACTTTCGAGTAGTGTTAGTCAACGGGGGGCTCCCATTAATCCCACAGTGACAATCCACTTTTACACTTACTGTTAGATTCATTTCATCAGTTTCGATGACCATTCTCTTCGGCGTCATCCTTCGGAGCTAGTATTTCAAGTGTTGTCATTGTCAATACCGTGGGAAGCTCTACTGCGACGGTGAGGTGTATGGAAAATCAACAGGATTGAGTGCACGATGCACCTTTCATCCCGAAATAACCTTCAAGCTGAGGAACGCGGCGTCGGGACCCCTACGTATTGTCCTGCCTAAGTAGGATTTGATACAGTCCCCATTATGACGCTGCCCCTTCCCAAGAAGAATGTTACAACATATATGTTCCCGCTGTTCTCCCATCCATTCCTCCCGATCGCCACCAACACGAAGCCGGGATTCGTTGAAAGGAATATATGAAAGCACGGACACAAAAAAATACGATCACTCGACAGTCTCGGGCAAAGGCTCTTCTGTCTTCATTCCCAGCTTATCCAGAACCTCCTCGGCTAAAGCTAATGCTGCTGTCAAACCGGGCGACTCTATCCCGTATCTGAACAACATGGTGATTATCATAGCTGTATTGTGGCGCGGTGGGAAGAACTCACAGTGACAGATGTTTGCCAGTGTAACC